AGCGCGCGCGCAAATATAATTGGAAAGAGGCATGTGTGGTGAGAGGGGCTTGGAAAGAGAGAGGGGTGAGTGGATGAGGGAGACAAGGAGAGTGGCAGAGGCTGTCAGACAGACAGACAGACAGACAGACAGACAGACAGACAGTTAGACAGACAGACAGATAGACAAACAGACAGACAAACACGCTGGAGCACACATTTTCCAATCAAACTTTTGTTGACACCGATATGGTAAATTATCCCAACACCTCAGCAGTTAACAACACGGAATGTGTGCAACAAATACAATAACTGCTTAACACCGAACGCAGAGCGAAAAGCCATAAACGGCATACATTTCTAATCCGTATAGCAGAGGGGTAGGAGTGTGAGGTTCACGCATAGATTTGTATTTTCATATCCTAGACTGCTATCTCTGGCGTAATTCCGCGTCACTATGGAGGGCACCATTTGACTCTACGTATTTGGAATCAAATGAAGGGGGAAATCAGAACGGTAACGCACGTTCTCAACTATGGCGAAACGGGTGTTTTACACTTCCTTTTGTCACTCATCGTGCGCTCCAGCGAAGCAACGTTTTTTTTATTTTTTACAGAGAGCCAAGAGTAGTAGCCATGACAGCGCCCGATCTAGGATATTATAATGTTTCAAGTCTATGGATTCACGTCATTCCCAGCTAAAAAATACTCATGTTCTGTTCTGTGTCGTTCTTCCCAGCTAAAAAATACGAACCCCCTGTTCTTTGTAGTTTGAACTGAAACAGTATACAAATCCGCGCCTCTACGCGACATGAGCTCTGAGAATTGGCTGTAACCTAGCGACATAGCGACAAGACCAGAAATCCACACCAGTTACATGAAATATTGCGACAGTTTTGTGCTCAAACCGTGTAACTGAAAGGAATACGACAACTTGCTTCGGGGGGGGGGGTAATGTTGTTGTTTTTTTTAAACTTTATTTTTTGTTTGTTTGTTTGTTTGTTGTTGTAATTGTTGTTGTTGTTGTTGTTGTTGTTGTTGTTGTTGTTGTTGTTGTTGTTGTT